TCCCTCTAATCGTACACTGCTAAATTAGGTACGGCTAGCGCAGACAGTCCTCGTGTAGCTTTGCGCGAAATTCAAAAACAAACAAACAAAATAAATTACGTTCAACTGGATATATATATATACTGAGGTTGGTTAAATTTTAGTATAGAAACGTGTTATTTTGACGTTTTAAAAATTAACTTCCACTTTGAATGATAAATTACTTTGATTGTTTATTAGATATCGGAAATAATTTTAGAAACGAAGTGCAAAAAAATATCCTTGGCGTTATTGTAGCCTGAAAGACTCCATCCAAGTTAGAAGAATGGAGTAACAATGTCATGAACTCTATACAAAGCTGTTGTTGTTTTTAGTGCAAAAATTGCACAATGGTCTATCTGCACTCTGTCCACCACGGAGAATCGAATTCCGATTAGCGTTATAAGTCCGTAAACTTACCCAATAACCCACTGTGGGGGATTTTTGGCTAAATTTGGGGTACTGTCCCACCTCTTTCATATGCTGTAATGTCTCCGTTCTTATGTTTGTGAATAGATCTAAACACTGTTACTTCACATTAAATATCTGGTTTAATTTTTTCATTTAACAAAGAGTAATATGAAAACAAAAAGTTTCTTCAGTTTTTCTTGTTTAACGTACCCACTTTTACATTACATTTTTGATCTTTTTAATATGACATATTTATATGGTTGACCCGTTTATTGTAACTTGAATGTTTTTGTACATGTGAAATGTTTTGATCAAATAATTTATGGAATCAAAAGAAAAACGATGTTCAATCGCAATTAATTTTACAAATAAATTAAGATGAATTCAGTGTGGTTTGTATAGTTCTTTGAATAACATAAAATTATAGATAAGCTAAATACGTTCGTGCGTTAATTATTGTCTTTTTTTCTTGAATTACTTCTCGATATTTAAAAAGTACACTATTTAAATGTAATAGATTTAAAATCTAAAGCAAAAAAAAACAAAAACATATTCGAATATTTAATTTTTTTCTTCTCGAAATGAGTGATTAAAACCAGTTCATGAAACAAAAATTTGCCGAGACTTAAAAAATAACGCCTTTGTATTAAGCATCACATTAACACTTTTGAAAATAATCTGTTAAATCATATGAGAAACTCTTTAAATTTCAGAACGATTTCATGCCTTTAACACAGACTGTGTATGAAAAAATTGCCAAATTGTTTATGGTGGAACTATTAAATAGAGAATTACTACCGTATGTAAATGTTATCAAATTTGACATGCATTCAAGAAACTTGGTATTAAAAACGGAATATTGTTGCGAAATACTGTTTTTGATTACTCCATAATAAAATACCATCTTCGAGTATTCTTCAATAATTAAAATATTTACTCTTCATCGCAGTTAGAACTTAAATTTTTAACTTGAAAAAAAATTGTGTACAAATACTAGAAATAAACGACCTTACAACACCAAATTCTTCTTTTTATTTAATTAGACACTCAACGTTTCGCTTCAAATTTGAAGCCTTGTACTGTCAGTTTCGGTTTGTGTTTTAGTGGGACGCTCCTGAAAAAGCTGTAAAGCGAAACGTTCAGTGTGTAATTAAATAAAAACAACAATTTTGTGTTGTAAGGTAGTTTATTTCTAGTATTAAAATGTCTTGTTTACACCATTATGTTCTACAAAGATTAAATAATGTTATATATAAACTGCCATTTCAAATACCGTAAGGTTCAGGTGTTCATAACAAACGTGTAACAGTCCTTTTCCCTAAACACGTGATTTACTAATCACATATTAATTGTTTCGTCTTACATCACATTGTTACGTTTAGATTCTCAGAAGAAAAAAAAACGAAAACAATTATTTAAATAGTTATTTTCATAAAATTGTCCTAGACGAAAATGGAAAGCTGGCAGCGATTTTAATGACGGATTTGATTAATTCTTAGCAGAGAAGCGTTGACAGAAGTTTTAATGGAAAATTTTCCTACTTATCCATATATATTCAAACTTTCTTCGGGAAGAAAAAAAAAGTAATATGTAGTAATTCTTTTGTTTACATTCCACGCCAACGATTTTGGTTTTTAGAAAGGAAAATGTCTCAAATTATAAAAACATTCAAATGGTAATTATTTTGGTCTTCTCATATCTCTCACTTTTCAACAACAGAAAGTTTTTTTTTTTACCTTACAGTAGAACATTTCCGCATCGAAATGTACTTTTCTTGTTTGTTTTTTTACTATCATTTAAACGTTATTGGGCTAAATTGGTTTTATAATACAAATTTGTAATTGTCGAGGAAAGTTTACATATAGTTTAAAATACCATATTTAATAATTATAAAGTTGAACCATAAATACATCAGAAGAGACATAACTGGAATTATAGGAGTTCAAGTGCCAGCCATGGCCTAGTTGTTAGTGTTCCCGGACTGTAACTCTGAAAGTTCATTGTTCATGTCCCTTCTCTGCCCTTTAGGGCTGTAGGTGAGCTACAAAAGTGATGGTGAAATTCCACTCACTGTTCGATCAGACAAAGAGTAGTACAATGATTACTATGTGATTGCTGTTGACTGAGTAGTACAACGATTAATATGTGAATGTTGTTGACTAGCTGTCTTCCTCTAGTCTATCATTTCAAAATTATGGCCAGTTATGCGCAGATAGCTCTTGAGTGACTTTGCAAGAAACTCCTAAAAAAAACTAACTTAATCTAAAACATAAACCATACCAGTCCTCAGTTACTCAACAGCAAGCTTAAGAATTATAACGTAATGCCAAAATCCATAGTTCAATACTCCGTGGTGGCCATATCACAGATATCACATTGTGTAACTTTGCGCTTAACCCTCATCATTAAGAACAACATGGTTAACGGATGCTATTATGTTTGCTATGATTCATAATGAATTCATTTCTTTAGTAGCCATCTGGTGACACAGCTGTAAGTCTTAGGGCCTATAACGCTAAAAATCGTGTTTCAGTACCCCATTGCGTTGCTTATGTACCTCGGTAGGTAAGCAGTAAGTTATGGAAGCTATAACGCTAAAATTCGGAGTTCAATATCCTACGGCGGTGGACAAGGTACAGATAGTCCATCGAGTAGCTTTGCGCTACAGGAGAAACAAAAATAAACCACGTCATGTTTCTAAAGTAATTATTATGATACATATAACTCGCCATTTCATCACCTAGACATGATTTTCTTCGCAAAATATTACATCAAAAATCTCTGCAAAATACTTTACCAAAATATGTTTTCTAACATTACGAATAGATTGATTTTTTTGATTTACAGAGAATTTTAATACCAACATGAAGATGGTAATAGCTATGTGACTTAACGCATTATGTCTTGTTCAGTTACAAAATATCTTTTAAAAATAGAAATCAAAGTACATTTAGAATTGTGTTGTTTAACAGAACAGGAAGAAAATGCTTTAAACAACAAGTTGATAATTATCAGTTATCCAGAACTATTCGACGAAACAGGGAGTTAGATAACGCGGGTTAGGAATTTGTCAGAATAGATGATGAATGAAACATTATTCGTTAAGAATATTACAAAATTATCAGTTTTACATAATTACTCGACAAGAAAAGGTAACCAGATATTGTTCGTTAAAAATTTTAAAGTTTTGGTGGCCTTATTGTATAGTGGAAGTTTTACAGTCAGTGGTAATTTGAAATAAAGGTAATGATTTTTTTTTTAAATCTTATAATAAACTAAATTGTTTTAAAAGCAAAAGAGCTTCACAACCATATTGGTCTCAGCCAATAAATTATGGGCTCAATATTATTATATTTTATTTTGGTATCCAATGAAAACTAATTTGGAACGTACATTTTAACAATGATTCTGATAATAAATAATAACTATATATTTAAATTCATTTTGACAGACAGTGCAGCTACGACCTATCTTACACATGTTAAGCTGTTGCCTTTTCTCAGCTACCAGCAAGAATGGGCAACTGGATTCCATTATAGGCATCTTCCAGATCTAATGCTACTGCTTAGGTGTTCTGACTAGATTCAAAGCTTTCCCATGTTCCAGTTGTGAATTCAACAGCGTTGATCTATATTTCTCTTCCACTGCAATAATCACCGAATTCTGATGGTAGTAGAAGCTCAATCTCATGGGCAAAATTATAGTTACACCCTTTTCTGAAATCTTACCAATACTTTTTAGAACGATAATTTGATAGCCTTTTAGGCTAGTTCGTAACTAATTTTGAACAAGAAGGAAAGGACATGCACTATTAAGTAACAATATGTTGATATAAGAGTTGCTCAAACTGTAGAGGACAGGACAAAAAATGACTTTCTACAGAGAATATTTCTTGATAAAACGTATACATTATGGTTTTGTTGCTTAAGACTCGTAACGTAGGTAAATTAGTAAGTAGAATTATACACGGGATTTTCTCTATGTTAAAATATTTAAAGTTAAAGTATTTTAAAGTAGAGAAAATTCCGTGTATAATTCTACAAACATTATGGTGTTGTAGCACTTGGTAATATACCATTTTCATCTTACTAGTTGTATATTAATTATTCTTTAAAACATATTAAATGCCAGCGTCAATTCATTAAATGGTTCACTGCAACCAAATTAGATAGAAAACATTTTTGAGCATTATTCAGTTCAAGATGTTTTATTTAAGTACTAAAAGGGCTTTTTTTTTTACTTTCATGAACATTGCATCTGCAGGAGGTTGATAAAGAATGTAATTTAACAGTTCTCTCACAATTTCCAAGGTTCAACAGTCCAATAACTTTTTAAATGTATTCATACATGACTGTTTAAATAAATATTCAACCAAACAAGCAAAATTATCCCAAAAAGGCAAACGCATCGTACAGTTGGATTTTTTAAGTTCAAATATTTTCAATCATTACATCCCAGTAATGTTTCTGAAACATAGATCAATTATATATTTTGCAAAACTTTTGGTAATACATTCAAATTACCTAACACCACTATAGAAAGTTGAATGGAATGAATGAGGCTAGACATACCCTGAGCTTGTGAACTTCACTGGTCAAACGATTGATTGTATCTTCTCGTTCGCCCAGCATCTCTTTGACCACTCTTAGATTACTCTCGAGTTGTTGCACATATTTCTCTTGCTCCCCGAGTTCCTTCTTCATATCCGAAATAAGCACGGTACCGTTGTTTTCTTCTTTATGAACATTTTGACTAATAACATCACAAGACGTTCGTTTGTTCATGTCAAAACTTGGGTTTCTTTTGGTACAGAATTCCGCAACATTCGTGCCAGTCATCCTTGATCGCAAACGGCCGGCAGCTCTGAAGAAACGACGAGCACTTTTAACCAGCCGATTAGAACCATTACATCTCCCCTTTTGCTTTCTCAAGGTTTGGAACACACCCTGCCGCCATCGAGAGTTCTTAGATATCTGTGGTGCGTTTTGATGTACGTCGTCAAAGTTGGGTTCCATTGTATAAGATCCGCCAGGTATTTGTGGTAGACCTAAGCCCATGCTCTTTGAGAAAGTAATTCTTCTTTCACTACCAGGAGTTTTCTTGGGAAAGTAATTCTTCTTTCACTACCAGGAGTTCTCTTGGGAAAATAATTCTTCTTTCACTACCAGATGTTCTCTTGGGCAAGTAAATTCTTCTCTTAACTAAGTAACATGGAAAATCTTGAATGAACAAGTTGTTTTTGAGAGGGTTAATAGGATATGTTTTTGTATTTGTTCTATAACCGATTACTCTTGAATAAGTAAAATTATCTGAATAAAACGTTCAAGAGACCTAGCGGTTTAGGATTAGCTTATTATCCAGATATTTAGGAAGTTTTGTTTAGAAAGCATATTAACTTATTTTCACAACGTGCGACAACTAACTTCAACTTTAAATCTCAAGTTGTTGCAAGTAAACGTTTTTACTTCATCTGTCTGTTAAGTTTTTATAGATTAAATATTATCTTAGCTTAAACATCTAATCTCGGTAACAAAATGTAATCTGATTTATGTTCAGCAAGTATTCAATCTGTTCTTTAGTAGTCTAATTCTTATAATACTCTTTTAAACCTGTAAATTATTATATATATATATATATATAATTACTTTAAGCTTACCTATGCATGTATATTCTTTTTCAGTAGAGTATTGTTGAGATACAGATGGCTACTGGAAAAGGAATTCACCTTTACGTCAACTACTCTGATGATTCATCAGGACATGACGGAAACACCTTCTTTACTCTATGAACTTGATTGTTAATATCGAACCAGCATCGTACCCGGCGGAGCAGCACGCCTTATATCACTAGCGCGTGCACAAATATTGCGATACGTTGATTCGTCGATGCAGCTCAGCCATATAATTACATCAATAAATTTTACTCTCATCCTAGCCAGAATTATAATTCACAATCGAGTACAGCGTCTCATTTGAAACTTAGCTTAAAGACTTGTATAAGTCTATAAAATTCAGAGAATGATGCAAAGTGTCCTTCAAAACTAAAACTATTGCAGTTGTGAATTTCTGAGTTTGTATAATGCTAATAGACTCATTAGGAGGGAAACGTAGTGTAATTAGGCATAGGAGCACCACGGTAACACTTAACAACATATTTATTAGAACGTTTCGAAATTTACACTTTCCATCACCAGTATACTAGAAACATATATGAAACATACATATATGCATATGGTACGTATACATATATAACAATTACTGCGAAGTAATAGTGAGCAAAAAACAACAACATAAGTTTGAAAAAATCAGGAGTTTGAGAGAAAAAAAAACACGTTAAACACTAAAGACAGTTGAAAGAAAGTTAGATTATTGTTTAGGTTTGAGTGTTCATTAGAGAATCATAAGCTTTCTTAAAATGTTTATTTTACCGAAACGGTCAAATAAATATGTTGTCATGTGTTGCCATAGTGCTGCTATCCCTAATTGCATAATGCTTTATTAAAACCCTCCTAAAGGAAACGTGTAAATGAAAGCTATACTAAAGTGTTATATAAAGTTACTGCACACTATACATATTTTACGTATGGTTTATGTATGATTAAAAATATGGTGAAAGTAACCCTAGAATACGTGTCTTTGAGGTGCATTATAAATAAAAGTAGACTAACATAATATTTAATCGAAACATAATTTAAAAACTTATATTTGTGAATACTTAAACAACAAAATAATTCTTAATTAAAGGGTAAGCATCGCTAACTTGAAATAGTTATCACCTACCTATAGGTGGGCGTGTAACTTCAGTAACAGGAACAAGAGACTTGTATGAGTTTACGATTTGAAACGGACACTACTTAAAAGAAACTGGTATTTTAGCTTTTCATACTTACGCGTGTTTTGCAGTTTTGAGCACGTTTGGCACAACTTATGATTTACTAGAAGTTAGAATTAGGTTTGTTATCTGCCTATTGGTGAGTGTAGTCAATCATGCAGAATAGAAGGGCGGATCTTATATTCTTGAAGAAACTGATCTTTCTAACCGTAATTAACTTTTATAGCCATAACATCGTTCTGGGGAATAAGCAAATCACGTTTTTTTAAATTATTTATTTTATTGTTCTTTGTTGTTGTAAGCTATTTTTATGGCAATGTTTAAGCAAATCACATCTTTTAAATGGTTTATTTTAATCCTCTTTGTTGCTGTAAGCTATTTTTTATGGCAATGTTTAAGCAAATCACGTCTTTTAAATGATTTATTTTATTGTTCTTTGTTGCTGTAAGCTATTTTTTATGGCAATGTTTAAGCAAATCACG